GACACCAGGGTCCCTCCCCAGCAGCCCGGCCATCACCTTGCCTGACCTTGGCCGGGCCATCTGGTGGCCCTGTCCCATCTCCTGTCAGCCCTGGCACGTCCCCTGCCRTGTCCTGAGGTGGCCCTGGAGCCAGGAATTCGGGCTAAAGGCTGTGCTGAGGGAGGGGACGCTGAGCTCCCCGCTCTGTCACTGCTCCCTGCAGTGTGGGTGGGAATGGCTCATCCCATACCCAGCTTTATGGGATTGCTGGGAATGGCTCATCCCATACCCAGCTTTATGGGATTGCTGGGACCCAGGAGGGCAGGAGAGAAGAGGGGACAGCACGGGAACGAGCACAGCACGGGCTGGGCCAGCTGCAGGAATCCAGGGAAGGTCACAGGACAAGGAGGGTGCAAGGTGGGGGTGGGCAGCAGGAACCTGGGAGAGGCAGAGATTCCCTTTTTCCAACCCCCCACCTCCATGGCAGCCAAAATCTTCCCTCAGGAGGCTTCCTTCTCCAACTGGAGATCCATCTGGTACCTCCCTGCCCCCACCTCAGCTTCACCCAGATCTTTTATTTTTACAGCAAACCCACCTGGGGAAGGGTCCACTGACAGCTGCAGAGCTGCCTCATGTGGCACCTGCTGAGAACCCACGAAATTTGGGGGGGAAAACACACTTTTATAGCCCCACATCCCACCCGGATCCCCCTTCCAGCCCAGGCACAGAGGCAGCTTCACCCACACCCCCTTACCAGGCTTAAGGAGCTCAGCCCCTGCGATACTCAGAGTTTGCAGCTGCAAACAGCTGGGCAGAGCTTCAGGTGAATAATACCTCTGGATATAAAAATAAATAAAATTTCTATTTATTTTATATATACAAAGTTTATTTTATTAATTTTTATTATAAATTATTATAACTTATTATTTTGTTATATATAATACTGTCTTTATACTAGAAAATATTTATTTCATTACTAAATATAAATATTTATTAATCTATATAAAGTAAATATATAAAATATATAGGAATAAAAATGAAACAGCTGGGCTGATTGGTGCTTGGGAAGGCTTTGGACTTTCTCTCATTTGGRGAGCAGGGGGAGGCAGCAGTGAAGCTCCTCAGTGCTGGGTTGGTGAAGGCAGAGCCAGGGGTGTGTTTGGTTTTGAGGGAGGGAACATTGCTCAGCAGGGYCAGATCTGGAAATGCTGTGGCCAGATCTGCCCAGCCACTTGTTCTCTGTGGCAGGGGGGCACGGTTGGTGTCTGTCCTAACTTCAGGAAGGCTTTGGACACGATTCCCTGGGTAGGAGCCTGGATGGTGGGCTCCAGGGAGGGGCAGAAGGGCTCCAGCTCTGCCCACACACCCGGGGAATTGCTCTGGGCCATGGGTGGGTAGAAAATGGGCTGGGGATTTGCACAGATTGCAGCAGATAAGGATGGAAGAGGAGGAGTGCATCCTGCAGGGGGACAGGAATGTCCCGTGGCAGGGCCTGGGGTGGAGGAAGGAGGTGCCAGGACAGCCTGGCTCTGAGACAAGAAAATCTGGGTGCCAGGAGCTGGAAATTCCAGGAGTCACCAGGTGTAAAGCCACGTGGTGAAGGATGGAAATGCCTAGGGGACTGGGCACCCTGGAGCAGCCTCCAGCTGGGCTTGGATATTCAGATTTCTGTGAAATGAGTCCTTGGAGCATCAGTTGGGTGCACAGAGTGACCAAAGAGCTGGGGAAAGCCCCCATTTCCCCTCATCTGCACCAGGAACCAGTTTCCTTTGGGAAGCTCTTCCAGGTGGCTCTGCAAAAACAAATTCAGATAGAGAACATTAACCAAGGGTTGTGTTTTGGGGTGGAGAGTGGAGCACCACTTGCTGAAGGTTGAGAGTTGAATTCACTTAGGTTCCTTTGAAAGTCCTGTCCTTTGGCTGGTTTTCCAAGTGTTTTTTAGGAAAACTCTGCCTGCCAGGAATTGGTTTTAGAGTAATAAAACAAAAGTCTCTGGCTCTTTTAATCCGTAAGTGTGAAAGGGAAAATACAGCGAGCCAGACTCAGACAAAGTCTAACTTTTTTTTTTTTTTATGATTGGATTTAGCAGGAAGATTATTTCCAGCCTCAGTGGCAGGTTAATGGAGTCACAGGGGTTGGAGCCAGAGGAGATTTRTGGTGGAGTCACATCCTCTGAGAGAGGCTCAGCCCTGCCGGGTGTCTCTGTGTGGTCTGGAAGGGATGGAGTGTGGAGCTCGTGGTG